TACGTATAAATTAAACAGCATTGGAGACAGTATACAACATTGCCTTACTCCTTTTTTAATAGAAAAATCTTCTGTTTCGTTAAAATTTTGAAGACGTACTGTTGCTGTCTGGTTCCAATACAGATTGGCGATAATTCTTATATCCTTGCATCCAATCCCAATTCTTGTAGGTATTTTATCATCAATTCGTGTTTTACATTATCGAATGCTTTCTCGTAATCGATGAAACATACAAAAACATCCTTTCTTTGATCTAAACAATTCTGTATTAACGTTTGCATACTAAAGATCGCTTTTCTCGTGCCAAGTCCATTTTTGAAACCAAACTGACTCCATCCACTGACCTCTTCACATTTCCTAAACAATCTAGTGTGAAGTATTCTCAGGAGAAGTTTTAAAACGTGACTCATTAGGCGTATTAGTCGGTGGTCCTTGCAGAAGTTCGCACGTGGTGTTTTTGGTAGGGCGATAAATGTAGATCGAAGCCAATCTTTTGTAATCTGGCCCGTATCGTAGATGTCGTTAAAGAGCTTAACAATATTGTCTAGGTTTTCTTCATTAAGTAACTTGATTGTTTCTGCGTACATATCATCTGGTCCTGGGGTTTTGTTACTTTTTAATAGTTTGATAGCGTGTACAGTTTCAGCTTTCAAAATACTTGGGCTATACAAATGGTCTCCCTGTTGTGGTGGTTTTTGTGTTCTGTCATCATTGAACAAATTGGCTATGTACATTTTCCAAGTATTAAGTATATCGCAAGGGTCCGTTATTAGTTCATTTTGGTCATTATGTATACCAGTGACTTATTTTTCTTAAAGACACCACCAATTTCCCTAATTTTCTTGTGAAGATTGAAGCTGTCGTCGAGTTTATATAGGTTTTTAGCCTCGGTGCAAAATGTTATCATCCAGATCTCCTTCGCCGCTATAATTTCTTTACGAATTTGACTTTGTATATTTCGGTACCTTACTTGGTCCTGCCTAATGTTACACTGCCTTGGATTTTGAATTTTTCTTCTGGATTCATTAAATCTGTCCAAAACTGATTACGCCTTAAAGACGTTTGTCAAACTGACAATGATCAAATTACCAGACACCCTCGTGACGGCTCTGTTATAATTTTGTCGCTCAGAAATCCTGGACAGGAAGGAGTTTTCTCAATATAAAATGTGGCGTTGCTATGACGTTTTATCAGTTAAAAATAGTCTAGAGAAATAGTTTAAATAAAATTAGACACTTTTTGTGCTGCAATTTGTTATTTCGTCAAAAATTAAAGATAAATCAAAGAAAAAATTTTATACTCATGCAACTCATGCAACAAAACTGAAGACAAAAAACTATAAACATTGTATAAATTACAAAGAATGCTTGCAGTAAATATTGTAACTATATAAAAAATTTTAAGTCTAGTTTAATTATTTCAAAATCCGTTAACTTGTTTTAATCTAGACTTGATTTATTCCAGTTACTTTTATCCGACCCTGTATATATTAATGATCTATACAGTTTACAATACAAACTTAAAACAGCGTTCAACAACCACACAATTTCCAGTTTAGTACATTAACAGTTAAGTAAAAATTCCTTCTTTGTTTGTCGAAGTATGGCAGAGCATACCTTAACGTTTTTTGATTTTTCGTTGCTGAGAAACATATTTGGTTATTATTGTGAAAGCCTTTATTGTATTTAACGAAATGGCAAACTAAGCAAAAATTTTTTTCTTCGTTTGTCGAAGTATGGCAGAGCATACCTTAATTTTTTCCATTTCTATTGCTGAGAAACATATTTGGTCATTATTGGGAAAGCCTTTATTGTATTTAAAGAACTAGCAGAACTGCAGTAAAAGCAACTTAAGCTAAACAAAGCATTAGCAGTAATTTTTTTTATATTTTTTTTGCCGCAAAAGCATATTAAATAACTGCTAAATATTTCAAAAGATGCTGATGTGTACAGAAGAAAATTACCCGTTATTATTTTTATTTTTGTTCAACTTTTTATATAATCAGTGTCGTACAGTGATCGTGTTTTATAGGGGTATACTCAGTAAATTATATTTTTTTATCATCGTTTTATTTGTTTTTTTTATACAACACTACGTTTTTGTATGTAGATTAAGAGCTAAAAACTACATACTATGTAGTTTGTAGCTCTTAATCTACAAACTAAAATGTAGTGTATAAAAAAACAAAAAAAACAATGATCAAAAAAATATATTAAAAAATATATGTTATATCATAATATAATAATGACTGTATGGTTGTAAAAAAAACTTTTAATTTTAAATCTTAATTTTAACACCCTTTTCTTTATTAATATTAACATTTTATTGAAGCAATTTAGGTTAAATCTTTATATTTTAAAGTGTCGAATCTACTGTTCCTTTTTATACAAGGACCACCCTGTATATATATATATATATATATATATATATATATATATATATATATATATATATATATATATATATATTTCAGTTTTTAGTTCATAGAAATATTTTATCCATAGTTATATAAAAAATAAGATATAATTTTGCTATATATCATATATACAGTGTAGGAAAAAGTTTATGGTCAGTATAGACCTTACGTGAGATGGAGTGAGAAACAGCTGTTTAGAAAGAAAGAGGTATATTAGGTCCGCCCTTTATATCGTCGAACATGCAAGCGTGGAAATAATAAAAAAGGGGAAGTTCAACGTTGCCAAACTTATTGGTTTTATTTGACCTGTTGTCTTTTTTGCATTTAAACAATGTTCTAAGATAATCAAATTTGGGCGAAATTGATTTAAATGGCAGCTTACTGTTTTTTTATTGGGAATATACCACAGGTTTACTTTACAATAAGTGTAATATAACATTTTGATTTCCACAGTAATCGTTTTATATAAATAAAATTTATTAATGTTTCGTATTTTAAGTACAATTTCCGAATTAAAAATCTAAACATCAAAATACGCTTATTTTAAAGTCACATTGTGCCTTCTTTCCAATATGAAATAATAAACTGCATACAATAACGCCACATTAAAAAATATTCATACACAATAATTATTTGACAACGTCGGTCAAAACAACGAGTAACGAGTAGTAGAGGTGGGTCGTGGTAGTTTTATCGTTAAGAACGTAGGCACAAAATTTCGAGCCAATATTTTTTAAATGCTTCATTTTTTCGAATCCTGAGAAAACTAATAAATATTTTTGAAAAATTTAAACGCAGAATAAAACAATACATTATTAGCGAGGGCCGAAAGTCCCTGACAACTTCTATAATGTTTATTTTAATAAGTTATAGGGGTGAAAAAAAATTAGTGTGATTTTTAATTTCAAATATCTCATTCAAAAAACTTTTTGTTTATTCTAAGGGACTTTCGGCCCTCGGTAATAATATAATCTTTCATTTTGCATTTAAATTTTTTAAAAATATTTGTTAGTTTTCTCAGGATTGCAAAAAAAAATGAATGCATTTAAAAATTTAAATTTTCGTAAACAAGTAACTATGATTGTTTAAAAGTAGTTTCAAGTAAAAGAGTACCTACATAAACAAACATAATGGCTATTATCGTTAATGTGTATATTTATTGAAGTGAAAGAAACTAATGATATATTTATTATACCTTGAAAAATAAACTAAATAATACAAATAGTAAATCGTACTTACATTTACATTACACGTTATTATTAAATCGCGAATAGTCTAAATTGACATTAAAAAACCCAAGTTTTTCTACTTTATTTCTTATTAATCGTGTTCTTTTTTATTTCAAATTAAACTAGATTTTGAACATGTGTTCACATTGACAATACTTTATGAATATAGTGGTTAAGTTAGGATATACATGGCGATGGTTTTTCCACTGTTGTAATGGACTCTCGATACAGGTGTACGTGTAGATGAGTCATCTCCAATTAATTGATCAAAAATACACCATGGACTTAAGTCATCTTTATTGGTTTCTTTTTCTTGTACTGGTTGATTTTCAATAGTACAATCTTCTTGTTCGTTAATTATAGAAGTAACCAGCTTCTTAACTCTTTCTTTTATTTTTTTAGCTTTATTTTTATCAGAAAAACCCTGCACTTTAAATGGTGAATCCATAAATGTACATAATGACAATGTGCCACTCTGTTCTATCCCTTTAAATCTTTTTGCTAAACCCGATATTAGTAATTGTACTACGTCGGATACTATGGATGTAAGGTTACCGTTTGCTAAAATTTTATTGTAAGATTCTTGCAGGCAGCGTACCATAACAATCACTGAACTACCCTTCAAGTATTTTTGGTCACTCATTGTACTTGTTATTTCTTTAAACGGCCCTAACATTTGGGAAAGTTGAGGAACAAATAATCCAGTGTTCTTTATTTAGATTTGGTCTACGTCTAAGTCTGGATTATTTAATACCGATGTGGAACGGATTGCCTCTTCTAACTCGGTCATTATTTTTAACATGTAATAGGCGAAGTTCTACCTAGTTTCCACGTCTTGGATTGGCCGTTTGGGAACTTTGTTATGTTGTAATTAATACTTTAAAAGCCATTCTGAAGATAAGGTACTTTTTTTAAATTTTTTTTGCAGAATTGTCAAAAAAAGGACTTTTTATTTTATCTATTTGTATACGACAGCATTTAAGTGCATCCTCCACCAATAAATTTAACGTATGAGCAAAACAACTTAAATGTTTTCATTCTAAAACATCTTTAATAGCTTTGAACATATTTGAGGCATTATCAGTTACTGCAAAATTTACTTTTCGTTTTAGACCCCACTGATTAATAATTTCACTAATCGCTGTTTTCTGAATTATGGTTTCCAGAAAAATGTCAGCAGCCTAATAAAACCGTTTTAAATACTAAATTTTCGGTTAAATGTTGTCCTGTTAATGGGAAGTAACTCTCAGTTACTCCAGATGTCCAGAGGTCAGTAGTAATGCAGATATTTTCTACTTCTGTAACAACTTGTGATCTAATAATTTGCTCAGTTTTGACATAACGTTTCTGAAGTAATGAACCTGACAGTTTTTCTTGTTGGCGGTTTATATCCAGGAATCCACCCTGCAAACTTTCTTTCAAAGCTGGTTCTTCAACTATGGAAAACGGATGAAACGAGTCTTTGCATAAGTTCAGTAAATCTTGAAAATCAACCAGTACAAGAAAAAGAAACTAATAAAGATAACTTAAGTCCATGGTGTATTTTTGATGAATTAATTGGACATGACTCATCTAAACATACACCTGTATCGACAGATATAAAAGAAGTCGACATGTATTTGTCTGATGATATATTACCCACAAAAAATTTCGAACGGAGATTGGAACTGTCCATAACCGTGGTGGAAAAACCATCGCCATGTATAACCTAACTTAACCACTATATTCATAAAATATTGTAGTATTGTAACAAAACCTTTTCCTTGTGAACACATGTTTAAAATCTGGTTTAATTTTAAATAAAAGAAGAACACGGTTAACAAGAAAAGTGGAAAAACTTATGTTTTTAAATGTCAATTTAGACGATCCGCGATTTAATAATGTGTAAAGTAAATGTAAGTACTATTTGTATTTTTTAATTTATTTTTCAAGTTATAATAAATATATCCTTCGTTAGGTTCTTTCACTTCAATACTTATACACATAAACGATAATAGCCAATATGTTTGTGTACTCGCTAATTTGAATCAACTAGTTACAGTTTACGAAAAACGGTTCCGATAAAAATTAAAAAAACGGGAGGACCCACCTCTAGTTTTTTAGGTATATTAGGATCGGAACCAGAGAATATGTAAAATATCTCGATCGGAACTATTCGTCTCACTAATGGGCAATGAGTGTTAAAAATATTTATCGAGGGGAGACCAAGGAGAAATATGATTGTTATCTTTGTCTATTCGCTGAAAATATGATTTTATATCTGCGTTAGATATCCTGTTAAATTTTACCATACCGACCATAAACTTTTACCTACACTGTATATATATATATATATATATATATATATATATATATATATCCTAATTTTTTTTAAAAAATAAGTAATATTATAAGCAATATAAATTATTTTTTAGGTTTTGCTTGTGAATTTCCAATACTGCACTCAAGTTGAGATTACATATGACTAGAAAATTAGGTTTATTTTATGATTTAATATTTCATTCAAACAGTGGATTTTAATCAAGTATCGGTGTCGACATCATCAACGACTTAGTACGCAAATTCGTTTCAATGTGCTCGAAACTTAACAAAAGCTTTGTTCTTGGAAGCTCTATACCTAATAGAATACACAATAGATTCGAAACGTAATATTCTATTACGAACTAAGCTAGGGCAAAATTGAAACATTATATTTTATGCTTGACACCAATAACTATTATTTAAGCAATATATATATATATATATATATATATATATATATATATATATATATATATATATATTCTTCTTCTTTTTCATGCAACTCCACTAATGGATGTTAGCGATCACATTTTTCATTAATTCTCTATTTCTTGCAATGTGTATCAGAGATTGTATGTCGTTAATCCCTGTCCATTGCCTTATGTTTCGGAGCCAGGACATTTTCTTGCGTCCCATTCTTCTCTTGCTTTCAATTTTACCCTCGATTATAAGTTGGAGGAACTGGTATTTTTCATTTCGCATGATGTGACCTAGAAACGCCGTTTTCCTTTTCTTGATGGTTTCGAAAAGATGGCGTTCTTGGTTTATTCTTTTAAGGACATCTATATTTGTGATTTTCGCTGTCCATGGTATTTTTAGGATACGGCGATAAAGCCACATTTCGAAAGCTTTTTTGCTTTCGAAATTTTGCAATGCGACATTTTACTTCTATGTCCGATGCCCAGTCGTCAAAAAGCCACGATCCCAGGTATTTAAATTTACTCACTCTTTCAATGGATTTAGTATTCAGTGTTATGGTGGAGTTTTCAAGTGCAATATATATATATATATATATATATATATATATATATATATATATAATATATATATATATATATATATAATATATGTATATATATATATATATATATAATATATATATATATATATATATATATATATAATATATGTATATATATATATATAATATATATATATATATATATATATATATATATATATATATATATATATTTGTACATGTATGTATATTGTAACATGGTAGTTGTTTTTCTTTAAATAATTATTTTATTTCAAATTTTTTTGATTCTATTAATCTATTAACTTTATCTTTCATTTTACTATTATTATTTTAAAAACAGTTGGCGCTCAACTCTTTATTCAACCCTTCCAACGTCGTCAAGTTAGATAAATTTTCTATTTACTAAATATTCAAATATTCTGTCATCTATATTCCAAATTTCATTTTCACTCAAAATTCTTCTCCTCTTAACGTGCCCTAACAAGTCCCCTTGACGTTGGCGATTAACATGGCGGAACTGTCTCTGTCTCGAGCTATTCTAAAGAGTTGCTCAGCTTTCCTTATTCCTGTCCACTTCCTGATATTCTTCAACCAAGAGACCTGCTTTCTACCAATTCCTCTGCGTCCTTCGATTTTATCCATCATAATAAGTTGAAGAATATTATATCGGTCTCCCCTTAGTATAGCTTAGACTAATGGTGGATATTTTTAATGTCCATGCTTCGACACCGTATAAGAGGACTGACCAAATGTAGCATTTTACCATGCGCTTTCGAAGTTGAAGTTGCAAGTTATCATTACAAAAGAATGACCTTTATTTTTAAAAAATGTCATGCGGGCTATCTCGATTCTACATTTTATCTCTTGATCTGGATCTAGTTGTTCAGTAATATGGCAACCAAGAATATTAAAACTGGACACTCTTTGAATTATATGACCATCAACATATAATCGTGCATCTTGATGTGCTAAACGGCTAAACACCATGTGTTTTGTTTTTGAACAGTTTATGTTTAGGCCAAACTCTCTTCTCAATGTATCAATGGCATTTAAAAGGCATTGTAGTCCATTCATGTCATCACTTAAAATAACTGTATCGTCTGTATATCTGATTGTGTTTATCAGCATTCCATTAACTTTCACGCCCCATTCTCCAAATTATGCAGCGCTTCTTTACATATTCTATCTGAATATAAATTAAATAACAGTGGGGATAGTATACAACCCTCTCTGACACCTCTTTGTATTTTACATATTTCTGTTGATTTTCCGTTTATGCAAGCTGTCGCTGTTTGACGCCAGTACCTATAACTTTTCTATGAATCGTATGTTTTGACTATCAACTCCTTTATCTTTTAATATTGTAATTAATTTGTGATGTTGTACTCGATTAAAGGCCTTTTCATAGTCAATAAATGCAGCAAAGACGTCTTTCCTTTGATCTCGACATTTCTGCAGTAATACATTTAGTGCAAAGAGGGCGTCCTGAGTTTCCAGTCCATTTCTGAAGCCAAATTGTGTTTCATCCTGGTCTTCTTCACATTTTTTATCTCTGATTCTACTGTCGATGATGCGTAGAAATATTTTCAAAGTGTGGCTCATAAGGCTTATCATTCTATAATCGCTACAGTTTTTCGGACGTTGTTTTTTTGGTAGTGTTATGATTTCGGACTTTAACCAATCTTCAGGGATATCACCAGTCGAATAAACATCATAGAAAAGCTTGACCAGTATTCCAATGTTCTTTACATTTATAAGCTTTAACATGTATGTCGGTATGATATCAGGGCCAACGGCTTTCTTTGCTAACTTTATAGCATGCATATAACTGATTTTAGTTTTTCTGGTCCTTCACCTTCAACTAAAGTCTCCAGTTCTTCGGGTCCATCATCATTATACAGTTCACTTATATAATTACACCAGGTTGTTCGAATTTCATGTTCGTCTATTATCAGTTTTCCCGACTTAAAACTTAAATTATATTAAACTTAAAATTAGAATTCCTTTATTCAGACCCTATTATGTTGTATGGGATGATAGAACATATATAAATTTCTATGCCACACTTTAGTCGAAAAAGTAGATCTAGCAGTTGGATACTCTTTGACTTCTGTCATGTCAGCTTTACTTCAAAATAGAAAGATAATTAGTTTTTGTAAACATCCTTCATATATAGAGAGAAAAGCTTCTGTTGAAAATAATTTATATTTTTAAGATTTCTCTGGGGTAAGATATATTTATTATTTAATCAATACCATATGTCTTTTTATTATTTCTCTTGTTATACATACCTAATCTCCAACCCATGTGCTTCTTTTCAAACCATGTGTAGTTAGTATCCTTATTATGATTTTACTAATTTGTTTAATTATAATTATATTCATTTTATATTTGCCACTTTGTTATTTGCTATTAAATATTGTAATTATTTTCAATCTTCATACGACAAAAAAATATTTTTAAGTCTATGGAGTTGCTAATACGAGGCACATTATTTTGGTTTTTTAGTCTAAATGATTCTGACAAAGATGACGCTGGAAGGGATGAGGAGGACCAATTAAATTACACTCTTTAGTCGAGGCACACTGTTTCAAAACATGGATATTCCAGCTGTTTCTAGAAAAAAAAAAATGCACTAGAGAAAACCGTGTTTTCAAATAAAACTCTGACTGAGACTTACGAATCAGGTAACAAAAGAAAAAGTGGGGTTGCATAAATTTCACAATATTCTAAAAACAGAAAAAATCTATAAAAAAATCGATCGTAAGTAAGAAGAAAAAAACAGGAAAAAGCAGCATTTTCAAAAACAATACGGAACCCCATATACTAAATGAATTGAAAAAAGAAACTTTGAAGCCAATCGATATATTTAAATTATTTTTTGAACCCCCTCTGTGGCTTAGTGGTAAGAACGCCTACCTTTGAACCTAAAGGTCGTGAGTTCGAATCTCACGTCGGTGGAGAAATTTTCGTTTATTAAAAATTAATAAATGAAAATAATTTCTATCCTTGTGCGATCGGTACTCACCGGAGGGACCGCAGTCGTTCGGATACAATTAGCGTCTCTTAGCAAAGACAATGACGTCGACTTTGCTAAGTATCAAGATAATTACTCTACACACACACTACCCACTACACTAGGTACCTGACTGTAAAAATTCACTGTACCATACCAATGACCATTAGTTGTCGACGCATTAAACTTAATAAAAAAAAAGTATTTTTTAATAAAAAAATCATGAAATATCTTTGCAAAGAAACGGTAAAGTATCTATGCTTTACAAAAATCCTGCAGTTTCATTTTGTCTGTTAATGATTTATATAAATGTTTTGGCATTTTTATTCTTTCTGGATATCACCCATTGCCTTTTAGGGCAATGTATTGGGACTGTCGAGGGGACTCTCACTAAGTCTAGTTAGTAATACTAT